TTGATAACGGATGAAAAACATATCATTTTCAAATAGGAGTACCTATATATATACCTGCCAATATTACCTACATGAAAATGTTGATGTCGTATTTTCTATTCGGATTCAATGAAAAGATTCATCAAAACCAGTTATCAGTTGATTTCATCATCAGGAATCATTCTCATGGCGCTTCTTGTTACCAACTCTAGAATAATATAGGTACATAGAATAATATTTTCTTGTATGAAATTATGCCTCCATGCCAAAAAAGTTTGGGAAGGGTAAATAATTTTTTACCCCCAAAAACGTATTACCCTGTAGATATTGAACATCTCTAAGATGATTCAAACGACGATCTTCTACGAAGTTTCAACCACACGAAATTTCAAATTGATTTCCCTATAAGTGAACGAGATATTTAAATCAATATAGAAAACAATAATTGAACTTCGACCCTCTGTATCTCTGCTTCTCATCGAGATCGGACTCATGTTTCTAAAAACTCTGATTAAAATGATGAGATCTATCACCCTCTCCAATTTGTACCTCAAAACCTGAATCACCCTGTATAACGAATCAGGATAAGCGGTATAACCAGAAGTGCCGCAATCTTGAAAATATTTTTTTTAAACAGGATCCAATCGTGTTCAAATATGTTGATACTTCATAAGCATGAATATAATAATTCATAATATAATCAATAATGATGTCATTGTGACTCTTCTATTCATTATTCCAGATTTTTGTGATTTTCTCTGCTCATTTCCATAACATAATATGATTATATACTTGTAGTGAGGACAAATCAGATGATTTGCCCCAAAATGTCACTGCGTTGAAGATTTTTCCATCAGACAGCCTAAAAGAAAAAATCAATAGGTCGTCAGTGACACTTTGTTTTGAAAAAGGTTTGGAGAAGAGGAATATGGAAAATATTTTTCTCACAAATTGTCTTCAGCTTTCGACACTTCTCAGTGACAAAAAATTCGGACGTTGGCAAACAAATGATGAGGTACAGGATATGTTTTCAGCTCAAAGGAGTCAAAGGAAAAAACGATTTACGATAGTTAACTATACTGTATAAGCACAAAGGGCCTAAGTGCGAGATTCGTCCATTATGAGATATTCATCTCAGTATTTCATCCACATGCTCCTCTTTCATTCCTAGTGTTTTTTTTTTAGAAATAGAAAAAAGAGTTTTAAATTTGGGCTTAAATGCACTTCATGTGTCATTTACTACAGGGAAAACCGACACATCTCTCAAAACTAAGACATACTAGACTTAGCTGGTGAAAAGTATGTACATGTGCCTTTTATACTTTAGTATTCAGCATTTGCGTTCTTTTGTCCTAATTAGTATAACTTACACGTCTGACTTATCATCAAACTAGAATGAACATGCTGATTCAATATCATTTGTCTTAGTTCAATTAATAATCAACTACATGCTCTGTGAAAAAAGTTATAAAAATTATTGCCGCAAAGGCACATCAGAGGGCGATTGTGCACATAGTTATTTATGTGCGGTATTCATTTGTTGAGCTGTTATATTGGCATATAACTAAGGCGAAAGGGCTTATCTGCAATTTGAAATAATTAAACCCAAAATATCATTATTTTGCATATATTCTCGAAAAACATACAAACATTTAGGTTACATATAGGGTAATTATGGGAGAGATGGACCACCTTTTTTATTTCACCCATAAGTTCCTCAAATATAACTCAACTGAAATAAAACAATTTTCATTGCAAACCTTCCAATCTACTTTAATTTTAACGGTTCTCAAATACTAAATAAAACACTAAACTAAATAAAATAAACAAGTTTTTTCGAAAAAAATGAAAATGAAAAATCATATAATGGTCCAACTAACCCTGATTGTGCGGTTTAGTTGAACCATCTAATCGGGATAGTTGAACCACCAGGGGAGATGAACCAAATCCTTAGCTGGTATAACTTGTCCTGGCTTGGTGTTGAGTTGCAATCCCGTTTCGTCAATATTGAAAATATTGGCAGGTTTTTCAAAAAACTGATTAGTGGTCAGTATCGTTTCTAACAGCTCGAAGTAATTATTCACTGTGTCTCGACATTATGCAGTGGAACGATTTACTGAAACACCTTCTGCAATTCTTATGCTCAGATCTTGTTGACTGCTGTAACCAGGCATATCCTGCCATTTTGTTGATTGTTTAAAACGGTGCTTCAACTTCAATTGTTCAGCAAGAGCAAATGCCATATACCGCACATCCTTCCGTGTTGGGGCGAACCCAAATTTCTGTAGCTTCTTGATGTGTGCTACCGATTTCGCCTCATTTTCTTCTTCTAGCGTGGAAGATGGGCACAATGACCCTTTTTTTAGTTTGCCAGATTTCTTTCTTCTTAGTAAAGTAGCTTCTGCAGTATTCACCCCCATTGTATTAGCACCTATGGCTTCTATGGTATTCTTCAAGTCTTCTTCGGTCCAGGAAGCCCTTTTCGATCGCAACTTCCTTTGATATTTTGTAGGCATTTTGAAAAAATACTGCTCAAAACTGGTTCAACTCCCCCGATTTGATATGGTCCATCTATCCCGAACTTAAGGGGTAGATGGACCACTCCCAACTAGCATTTTCAGTCACAGGCACCATGGTTCAAGAAACTATTACCTATATTTAGTGATAATAACGTATTTATCACTTATTTCAGAACTTCATAGTATAAATGTCAGTGATAGTTATTTAGTGAGTGAAAATTACGTAGTTTTTACACTAGATAATAACTTCAAAGTGAGAAATTCTCATGGCTTATTACGAAGTAACTATTTCGAAACTGTCACTCCTCAAAACTACTCTTAAGGTTTCGGAACTTTGGATATATTATTACGGTAACGCTTACCACCCCAAGAAGGCTTCACAGTTGCAATTACTCCATGGTCACCAATTAGGTTTCTACGACGTTGTCGTTACTTGATCGATCACCTAATAATTTAGTCAATTCTTGGTGATATTTCAAGTAACATATTGGTAATTCCTACTCAAACAATTCCTTCATAGTTGAAACAACTTTTCGGTAATTATATTCAGTTGAAGTTACCAATACATAGGTTATCATAACTGACGAGTTCCAAAAGTAACTTTCTGATTCATTTTCGATTGGAAGCCATATTGATTGATGTGATAACCATTTGAACAGGAAATAATTTTGGTTTTTCTTGTTGATAAACATCATTTTATGAAGAATAATAGCATTCGTTCGATCACAAATTGCATAATAATGGAAATTAACATGATTTACTATGATTTTTGAAAAATAGCCGAATGAAATAAAACCATATTTTTGGTGAAATGAGCCGTATTTTGTGGGCGCATCTTGAATTTCGAGGCAAAATCATCACATTTATCGAAAAACTGAATGTTGTTCGAATTTTTCAAGTTCGAGTATCAATTATTTCGCGTGTTTGTCCTTGTATTATTTATTGAATGGTTAGGCATATTGGACTTGTTCATTTTTCGTGAATGTGAACTTCATGGATGAAATGAAGAATAATAAAGAGAGAAAATAATATTTTTATGAAGTGGAAAAGAAATAGAAAGTCAGGTAGGAAAATTTACTACATCTTTACGTAATTTCGACGTCGACGGGTCGTAAGCATTACGTAATTGTGTGAGTTCCCGCTACGTCGGCAAACCGTAATAATTACTCGTGATTTGTTCCCCATTTTGGTCGTAAATACGTAGTAACGACGTAATTATAACGTAACCGCAACTAGTAAATATTACTTAATAGTCGACCCAATAGTCGTAATTACGTAATCGCGACTATAAATGATAGTTGGGCTCCAAAATGAAATATATAACAGGAGAGAGGTATTTCCAGAGTATAAATATGAAGAACGCAATAATCAGCTGTGAGTTTGTATCAAGAAATCGAATTCCAATACTTACATTAGGTCAGAATCACAACAAATTTGGGTTAGAAAATTTTCCACCACGTGTAAATACAGAATCGATTTTTCTCAGTTTCAGAAGACATACATGCACAACGCAACTATTCGACCACAACATGTATTCGTTTGGCTAATTCACTATATTTCTATTCCTCTCCTTCCACATCCATATTAGAAAATCGGACGCTGGTCCATCTCAGGCGCGATGGTCCATCTCTCCCGTAATTACCCTATATGTTTTTTTCGCACCTGGATAGGAACAATTACTATAGGCGACCTTTCACTTTTCTATCGATACTTCCATGGGAAATGTTCTTCGGAAATCTCTGCTATCATTCCTTCACTAGCAATACCAATCAGACGAACTAGACAAGCCCAGTCAGCACATCCTTTCGTTGTCAACCTCGAAAGATGTCGAACAGCACTTTATCAAGACTCCTTCATCCATGCATAGAACGGCTAGGCTCTGGAATTCATTGCCTGTGGAAGTATTCCCAACAACATATAATCTCCAAAAGCACGATGTTCTTTGAACATTATAGGGATTCCCTTTCGTGCGCTCCAAGCGAAAAATATAGGAAATGTTGTTTTGGGGAAATTGTCCTGGATGTGGAATAAACCCTCGGATTTAATATAGAGGAATGAATAAATATTTGATAATCATGTTCTTTTGCTCAATACTTAACTAAACCTATACAGATAATATTAACTTGCAATGGCCCACTAGACTTGCGGCGATGTTTATATCGCCAAATAGCGACGCGTCAGAAAAGCACCCCAAAACCGTTACGGCAGCCAGAAAAGGACAACCTACCCCTGCGAGCGAAAGAACAAGCGTCAGGTATACAGCTAGGGGTGGTTCGGCCCCTCCAGGGGTGTGTCCTCCATTCTACCGCCCCCTATACACTTCCACAACCCGATCTAAACGTTTACAAGGGATATTCTGTCATAGGCCGGATGCCGCAGAGTTATTCCATAAGTTTACAGCCGGAGAACCCGAGAAACGATCTGTGTGCGCGAAGTGCTCAGTGCTGCCGTCGGAAGTCTCAGAATTCCAGAGCTGTCATGTCTCAGCATTTCTGAGCGCCCATGTCTCAGCGCGAGACCATGGCGTCCCCGACGCGAGACGCTGACATCAACGTCGTTTCGAGCCCGGAGTCCACCAGCAGGAACTGTTCCCCGGAGCCGGACTTCCGGTCCAAGATTACCTGTTTTCCTGTGTTGAAAGCTAGTGATGAGGATGATGTTAGGACTGATAGGGACAGTAAAGCGAGTGGGCAGAAAAGTTCGGGCGGGTCTACAAATTTTTCGATTTCGAGTATTCTGTCTAGAAGTGATCCGGCGGCTAAGAAGAATGGTTTTTTGACCGGTGGTGGTTTGGAGAATGCAGGGTTGTCTGCTGGGGCTGATAGTGCTGTTTTGTCGAGGTCAGTAACATAGCTATACCTACAGTCGACAGTGTGACCAAGATGAGGATGTACAGGGTATTAAAAAGGAATATTCTCAGTTATAAATATATGATCATAAAAAAATTGATATAAATATAAATTCACCGGCAGAAAAAACCGGTCATCAAAAAATTTTACCAAATCGTTTGCCCTGTAACTATTTTTATTCTTGTCCGATTCTGGTAAAATTTCGACCAAATCGTATATTCATGTTTCGGAATGTTAACCTGAATATAAGGTCCTCAGAGAAGCTGACGGCTTGATCGTTATACATCATGGAACAACAAAAGGTAGAGTGATCCCTTCTTAACACAATGGTACTTGATTCACGTCGATAACCACTTTTTAAGAGAAGATACAAGTGCTTTGAGAAAGTATGGATTTTTATTATTTTTATTAAAAATAATTCAGAACCATTCTCCAACCTTCCGCTTCATCTTGTTTTGAATTGAATTGTGATCCTTTTTCTTCCCTTCTTAACACAATGGTTATAGATTCACGTTCATATCTTCTTTTTAAGAGAATATACAAGTGTTTCAAGAAAGTATGAATTTTTTTTTAACCGTAATTCAGAACCTATAAAGCATCTTAGGGATGAACTCTAGAGGCTCATTCGCGTTCGTCCGGCCTTGTCAAGACACTTCAAGAGCTACGATTCGCCTTTCAAGGATAATTTCAAGCAATTCTTCAAGACCACTTGAGAAATTTGATCAACTCAATGCTACGTCGGTTGAATGTTGTAAATCAAACTCAAGGAGGCCGAGGATCGAGGGCATACTCGTTATTGACTATACAGGTCTGCTTTGTTTGTTTTTTGTAAATAAGGATTTTTCCGGTAAGTGGTAAGAAGAGAAGGTATAAATGAGTAACATTAATTCTTCAAGTTGTCAATCGATAAGTTTATGTAGGTTCTGGATTATTATTTATGGAAATTGAAAAATGCCATAATTTCTTGAAGCATACTCTTTGTTAAAGGGATCACACTTCGATCCAAAGCATATAATGAAGCCAACTTCAATCACTCAATTTCGTCACAGGGCGTTAAGAATCAAAGGGTGATATATATAGTTTTGGTTCACCACTGTATAATGATCAAATCATCAGTTTTTCGCGGAAACTAATATTTGGGCCAACATTCCAGAACATGAATCTACGATTGGATTCGAATTTCACAAAAATCGGACAAGGATTAAAAAAGTTACAGGATGAACAATTTGGGCGAATTGTTTGGTGGCCGGTTTTCCGGTGAGTGTATATACAGGGTGTCCGCTAAAAGGAGGTCAATCCATTAACCACATATTCCTTGAACAAAAACAATATGAGTTTCTAAATATCATTTTTCATTTCAGCCCTTCATATTCGGTATACAGGGTGTCAAAGTTGGAAATTAAAAACTGTTTTTTTCTAATTACTCGCGTATTTGATAAAATATTAATCTCAAAATTGGTACATTACTTCAGCACAAAGAGTTACATCGTGTGAGGAAAACAAAACAGAAAATAACTGTCAAATATTCAAGATACTGGGGGTCAAGTTCACACTTACCCCATATTTTGTTTGTACGTGCGCTAATGACTTCCTATCTATTTTCCTTCAAGTGTTCAATCATTTTTGAGTATTTTTTGTTTCCTGTAAAATTTCGATTGAATCATTTGTTTTTAAGATAATTCGAGAAGTACTGGTTATTGTTTGATGCCTATGCGGCTTAGGTAATCTCATAATGTTCACATACTTACTCCTATTTATTTCGCCGAAATTGGAAGAGGGCGTATCTTTTTACGTACGAAAACATAAATATGGAAATACCGGGTGCTCGGAGCAAATGTACTGAAATAATTTTTACAAAAAAAAAAAAAATTTTAAAAGTGTAAAAATTATTTTAATACATTCGCTCTGAGCACCCGGTATTTCCATATTCACCTTTCCGTACGTAATAAGATACGCCCTCTTCCAATTTCGACGAAATAAATAGGAGTATGTGAACATTATGAGATTACCGTAAGCCGCAAGGCATCAAACAATAACCAGTACTTTTCGAATTATCTTAAAAACAAATAATTTTATCGGAATTTTACAAAAATCAAAAGATACTCAAAAATGATTGAACACATAAAGAAAAATAGATAGGAAGTCATTAGCGCACGTACAAAAAAAATATGGGGGTAAGTGTGTACTTGACCCCCAGTATTTTGAATATTTGACAGTTATTTTCTGTTTTGTTTTCCTCACACGATCTAACTCTTTGTGCTGAAGTAATGTATACCTATTTTGCGATTAATATCTTATTAATTACGCGAGTAATAAGAAAAGAACAGTTTTTAATTTTCAACTTTGACATCCTGTATATCGAATAAGAAGGGCTAAAATGAAAAATGGTATTTAGAAACTCATATTATTTTTGTTCAAGGAATATATGGTTAATGGATTGACCTCCTTTTAGCGGACACCCTGTATATAAAGATATACATTAGGAATTCGCATTCTCATGAAGAAAATATCAATTCTTTCTCGGTGTATTCAACAGAAAACAACTACTTTCCTGGCAATATGCCACGACGAATAACATTGAATTATATATCTGTAGAACACACACGATGAGAAGAAGTAGATAATTTGCATTCTCTCTCATATGTATATGCACATAATATCATTCTGAATATTCAACTGGAAACAACTACTTTCCTGGCTATTTGCCACGTCGAACATTGAATTATATCTGTTGAACATCCAAAACTCGATCCAAAATGAGAGCATAAAAAAAGTAATGAGCTTGGAACTTCCAAAAAAATCATTCGTATTGAGATTCGATTCAACTCATTTAGGATGTCAAATCCCCATAAATAACCTGAAGTCCAGTTATTCTTTCAGCCATTCTTCATGATATAGGTATACAATGTTCATCTCACTATATAATATAACTAAAACTATAACGAACTGACATCTGAGAATTGTGATTTGTTGACATACTCCAGTCATCTGGGTGCATTTGTTCAGAATACCTGGAATTCGAGCTTTGTCATTGAAATCTCGTGAACCGTCTGAGATACAGGGTCGGTTAAATTAAGCGCAATTCTATATGACTAACAATATGCCGTTTTGAAACTTGAAAATTCTGAATGAACCAAGTATTGAACAAATTGGTTTGGATGTGTTTCGACACAGTTTTATAATTTTTAGAAATTTCAATGAAAAATTAACAACATCTTTACCTATCTCTCATATATTTGGTATCAAATTCGAATATAACTTTATGATGTGGAAAATCAACTACCTATTTCGTGTATCCATATGGTTCAGACAAAAATTTCAATATCAAGCAATGTATAATATGATGTTCTCTACAGGAGAGGAAACCATGATGCACAGTTCGTGTACAATATTATTGTTCCGATATTTCATTATTGAGAATAACTTCAAGATAACTGTATATGTAATACAACAACTTTATTGATGATTATCTAAATAAAGCAATGAGATTTGGAGTGATGTGAAGCTTTCCCAATAACCGATAAATATATGCGCACCTTGTATTGAAAAGGAACATTCTCAGATATATTTATGAACACAAAAAAATGGATACATATATATAGAGAAATACATTGAGAATTCGCATTCTCCATTTAATGAAAATATCAATTCTTCCGCGGTTTATTTAACCGAAAACAACTACTTTCCTGGCTATATGCCACGACGAATATTGAATTACATCTATTGAACACACAAGATAAGAATTTGAAAACAAAATCTTCTGAAGTAGAGAATTTGCATTCTCCTTCATATAAAGATATGCACATAATATAATTCTGAATATTCGACAGAAAACAACAAATTTCCTGGCTATTTGCCACGTCGAACATCGAATCATATCTGATGTTGAATATCCAAAAAAAAAACAAACATGAAAAATCAAAATCCTCTGAAATTGAGAATTAAAACATCATCTCTCAAATCGAATAGAATAATATGATGTATTATATGATATGAAAATATAACTTACCGATAATATGTTCAGTATTGAAATGAAAATTGAAATGTATAGGAGAAGTATACTCATACACTGTAGAAAATTCTTCTGAGTGAATGCATTTGTGGTTGTGAGTGAATTTACTGATTGAAATTTTTGATTGAATTCTCAACTCAAACTAGAAATTTCATCAAGTTTTCATCAATGAGAATGTTTATAACAAATTTGATTGAATTGGTTCATGAATTATCATTTTACACAGTCAAGTAGGGTGAAATTTCAACTCAATCGGGCGTGGACCGAAATTGACTCATTATTGCGTGGAACTTGAGTGAAATTTCACTCAATTTTTTTTCAGTGTATGAACTCTGATATTGATGAGCTTGGAACTTCAGAATTTCTTTCCACGTCCTGTATGATGAATGTCAATTTATCATACAATTGAAAGAAATATGCACCTTGCTTTCGTACATCACGGAATCTCCATTGTTTCTTGATTGTTCGCCATAGCAAATACAAATACCTATCATTCAACTAAACATTTTATTATCACTTATAATTAATTTCATGAAAGCTTTTTTTGGTCGAAGTAAACTTGACATGTATCAATAAGAATTTTATTGCCTGGCAATTTGACAAAAAAACTGCCTCTGAAAAAATTACAGTCCGTCGGACAAATAATTTTTTCTGGCAGTTTTTTGAGTTGAACTCGGAGTTGAATTACCTATTGGCAACAAAATTTGAATTATAAATGCCAAGTTTACTTCGACAAAGAAAAGCTAGAGTGTAATTCGGCAAGACAATTTAATTAATCAAACATTTGTTTATGGCTGGTTGTCATGCTTTCAAAAGTTAGGTTCCGTTATTGTCGCTGGAAAAGTCAGGGCAAACTTTTTTCGCTGTCATAATGACAAAATCACGCGGCTTGTGGGATTTTTTATACATGAATTAAATTGTCCATAAAAACATTATTTCTGATATTTACTAACCAAAAAACCTATTTAGAGCTCCGAAA